AGGGGGGGAGAGGAAAACGAGAAAAAAAATTCTTTGTTGGGCGCGCGAAGAACCGTCATGCATTGCCAGGCAACTTATCACAGCCACTGATCCAGGCCACTGATCTATATAAAGTGCAATTGCACTGCACTGTGTCCAACGAAGGGCCTGCGGAGCCACGGAGGCAGGAAATAACAAGTTAAGACGTCATGCTATTATAATGGCTGTGGTTCGTAATAAAGTTATTTAATCTTTTTAGGATTATAGTATACATGTTTATAACCACATTGATTATAGTATTGTTTTAGTACATTGTTTTATCTTAATATTGTAAATATTTATCTTCATATTGCAAATTCGAAGAGGTTTGCAGGGCTCCACTATGGCCGAGTAGTTCTTATTATACTGACTAGAATACCCTGTAAAAAAATATTAAATATTTAAAGGTTTCAAGTTTATTTAATATGTTTAATAATATGTTTTTAATTAACATCTATGTTCGCTAGTTAATTAATATCCATGTTCCCCATACCAGTCAATTTGGATGATAACAATCTTGCGCGTCTCGACATTTTTGCTCCATATCAGACATATAGCTAGTTAATAATGTTCTTTGTGATCTCTTGATATAGCCAAGAGTTTTTCTGGAGAAACTTCAGTTAGCTGTCAATATGTTTATCAAGACATATCAGTATACAGTTCCCGAGTTAAAAATTCTGTCAGTCTCTGTTCCTGATGATCAAGTCACAAATGTTACAGTTGCCCAAGAAATTGTCTGTGTCATAAAGAAACTGCAAAAAGTTTTGCCCTACAGTATGGGAAATTTCGTAAGTACCTTAAATATCTTCATTCTTACATTGTACGAAGTTAAGTTTTCTTCCATGAAGAGTACCAACCCCCTAGGTTGAGATTAACGTTGAGGAAACAGTGTCTAAATGTCGTCTTGTTTATGAATTCATGCCGATTCTGAATTTGGAATCTTCTTTGAAATCTGTTTCTTTCTATATATTTGACAATAGAAACAATGATGGTGGATCTTTTCCATAAACCGAAAAAATTCAAACTGCCAAAAGACTGAGTTAGTCTCAGCCTTGTGCATTAAGCCTTTATTGCATGGCAATTTAAAATCTGATTGATCCGGCAATTTTTGTCTAGATTGTAAAGATGATAAAGTATCATGGTCCTAGTTTCGATGTTGAAGGGCTTAAAGATTTCTTCAGTGTTGATTCAGAACAGAAAACTGAAAATGATCTTGACATTGACGACTCTTGTGAAGTAAGTTGACTGACATCTCACGATAAGTTCCACGTGACACAATAATCTAAGAAGACCAGCTCCTAACCGGGGGAGGCGAAGTTGCCAAGTTGGATGATTAACTTGGAAATGCTCCACCCCTCTCCTGTACGTAGCTATACACTTAGTAAATTTACTGACTACGTCTGGCGTCTGTTAATATCACTGAAATTGCATCATGCAGTTGTAAATTGTAATTGTAAATTGAAAAGCCCTTTGCTCTATGGGGAACATGCATGTGCAAAGTTTAATAATAATAGTAATTGTTATAGAATCCATTCGTGCATGCATGGCCGGCATAATAGACCCTTTTTATAATGACGTCAAACGCGGAAAAACACTTAATGATGCGAAGGCCAAGACAATTTTTAGCGACACTAGCTTCTTGATGCAAATGATGTTTTTTATGAAATTTATTGTCTCGTCAAAGATTTGCATTGCGAATCATCGCTACCTGTGGGACATTGCATACTTGATTTTCCGCGTTTGACGTCATAATTTATAACGCAACGGAACAAACAAGATAACCATGCAAGCATAAGTTACTTTGGATAAAATTGGGCGAATAAACTATTCAACTGTTCAATCATGTATTCATGTCTTACATGCATATACAAGTAGGCACAACAGAACTGTGCATCCATTATTTTTATACTAGCACATCAGTTTGCCTTCTGTAAAAAAACTAAAGAAAGATGCATTTTTAAGCATGTTAAATTGTCGATATGGTGCAGAAGCTTTGCATAAACATCTTGCTTAAGTACAACGAGCCTTTTAGGTTGTACGTATACCTTTCCAGACAGCGCTGAATAAATATTCAGTTGTCCACAAAGCCAGGTAGCTGTTGTTTGTCAAACCCGACACTGTTTTGACTATTTTTAAATTGCAATATAAATTTTCTTTCAGGTTCCAGACGTCCCAGCCAGCAGCGAGTTAGTTGACCGTGCTGGACTGTTAGAAATGAAGAAATTTGTTGCCACCCTCATTACAGTCGCCATGGAATATCAAAACATGTTGGAAAAATAATTTATTATGACGAACAATATGACAACACCGTTAACTTAAAAGATGCAACATATACGTGCATATATACATTCAAATTAAATATAGACTTACTAAAAATTGTAGTCAGTGTTACTATTAAAGAAAAAATGTAACTGTTCATACAGTGTTGAAATTAAACTGTTTTGAATATTTAAAGTGTTGCCTAATGCTTGTGGTACAACAATTAATTACGTCGGATGCAATCTTAATATGAACAGCAGCTGTATGATGATACACATCATAGAAAAAAGGAGACTGCAGGCATACATTTAAGTCTGGAATTAAGTTGTGCATATTATGCATAAATTACGCAACGGGTTAATTACGCCTTCAGTTTACCCGGCAAAGCAAGACGAACTAGCTCTTGCTACTCTCTCATCCAATTTTCATTGCGGAGGTGCATGATTACTGATGGGTTCTTTTATGTGTATCTTGGTAAACCTTCTCATTTCTGCAGGGTGTGATACTTCGCGTACTTACATACCGAAGGTACACCAATATTACGGTCTGGCACATCTTTGTTTTAAGCCAAGTACCACGTTGCTACGCAGAACTCTTGTTATCTGCGTACTTACTTTTTGCTGGTGCTATACTACTTGAAAACCCAAGGTATTCAAAACCGTAAAAGCAATGTTAGATCGAGTCGATTGTAGTGTTTGTATATATATGCAATTGCACTACTTGTCATAACTTTTCACTTTCAAGTTGCTGAATGAATACCTTTCAGAAACCTGTGCTTTGTGTACTTCATTTTAAAGACTAACTACACCTTGAGTCTTAAGTTTTAACCATGCAGCTCAAGTACGCAGCAATAATCATTGCATGGCGTACCAGTCAGGTACGACTAAAAATAATCGTGAATTATAAGTTATAATACTTAAAATCATGTTAGAAACGGCTGAGAAGGAAACTGAGGACTAGACCGAATGACTATTTGCGATAAATCATTACCATAAATATCAGTGACAACATTTCGTGCAGATAAGCTGAGCGGGGAAAGAAGGCCTGAAAGCATAAACGTCCGGCCTCATAAAGGCTTGTTAAAATTGACCAATAAAAATTTAAAACCCTATAAGCATGTCAATAAAGTCTTGGCTTTAATCAATGAACTTCAACGTACGTTCAAAAACTGAACGGCGTTTAGTCAGGAAAGTTATTCCTCTTTTCCGCTCCAACAAGGTTAGGCTAAGGGACGGACTATTTAATTTTTGATGGGGGGGGAAAGGCGCCTCGATTTTTTTCAGGCCTCATCGGCTCCGCACGATATTTTTTTCAGAATTTTTGTAATATATTGGTTTTACAAACTTGCCGTGCTCGATATTTTTTTCGGATTTGCGCCCCTCCCCCATCAAAAATCCAATGGTCCGTCCCTAAGCAGGCCACATTTCGTGTATAATTAACAAATATAAAACATTTTCCGTGTTGATATACAGTTATATCAACACGAGTGGAAATTGGGAAAACGAGAAATTGTGTGGAAACACGACGCCCGAAGGGCGGAGTGTTTTCACACACAGTGATTTCGAGTTTTCCCAACTTCCACGAGTGTTGATATAACTATATATCAATACGGAAAAAATGTTTTATATTTGTTTTATAATATAGCAATGTCAAAAGCCCGAAGAATAAGAAAAATTTCCGTGTTTACAAGCGGCGGAAAATTTCCCGTGTTGACATGGAGTTATATCAACACGGCTCTTAGCCAATCAGCGTTCAGAATTTACAAATGCTATATTATAATATATTATATTAACTAATAAAAGTATCCTCTGATCCAACACTTTAAAACCCAACTCAAAACATATTAATATAAGATTAAGCAATTTATATAGTTGAGTTTAGCATGCAGTACTTCACTCCTGGTTAAGCAAACTTGCTTGCCTGCACCAGTGATCTCTATGTTTATCTGGAGCAAAAATCGAATGCAAAAAGTGAAGCTAAATATGGCGGAAATTGACGTCCATGCAGTGCCCGTCTCTTTGCCCGTCTCTTTGCCCGTCTCTTTGCCCGTCTCTTTGCCCGTCTCTTTGCCCGTCTCTTTGCCCGTCTCTCTGCCCGTCTCTTTGCCCGTCTCTCTGCCCGTCTCTTTGCCCGTCTCTTAGAGTAGTATTTGTCTGCGCGGTTACCACACGGCTACAAGGAGTACAAGCTATATTTAGAGTTTTAACTTCGATTTAAAGAGTTAGGGACTGATTACATGATGCCGGGCTGGCCCGGTTAACCGGACTGACTCGTTTGTTTAGGACCTTAATGTGGTTTTAAAACTCGTGTAAAATAAATTTGCGATAAATAATTGGTTTAGTATAGATGCAAAATCATCCTAAACATGATTCAAAACTCATTTTGCGGCCCAAGGAAGACTTTCGTGACATTTTTCAGCCCGGTTAACCGGGCTGGTCCGGTCCATGTAATCAGCCCCTAAATGAACTGATAACTTGATTAACTGGCTGCCTGACATATTTTGGCTGCCTGACATTTAGCTCTTATGGCTAACCACTCAAGGCAGTCAGTACCTAGCGATACGATTCGCGAGGAAAACTGGATTTAACTAGGAATACGACCTTCATAGGCACTGCATGGACGTCAATTTCCGCTACCTTCACTTTTCTCATGCATAGGTCGAATGATTGAAGATATAAAATTATTCCATGTATATAAGAGCAAATAGACTTTCGCAAAGTACTTTTCTTTTTTGAGGCCCACATTATAGAAGTCTACTAAAGAGCTCATTGATCTGCACCAAGTTTTTGTGGCCAAAAGATATCCAACCTTTAACTTGTGTTTCCCTTGCAGTAAACTAGTACACTGCCTCACCAGATCTTTGACTTGGCGGTGAAACAAAATCCTGCCATTTTTTCTGTAAAGAAAACAAGAATGTTCCATGTTTTTGTTTCTTTTGTTACCACACATTAGGATGCAGGTAAAATTGCAAGGTGTAACATGCATGTCCTGTCATAGTCCAGTCTCGCACCCTTTTTGTTGCAGGATTACACGACGAAATGCACATATAGTTGAGTGCCTGTCCAATCATGTAAGTGCAACGGGTTATTGGAAGTTACGAGAAAACTCACCAATTCAAATTGTACTGAAACACCAGGAGGGATGTTCTTCTGAACACATTGAAGAAATATATCGGCCATTTCAGACGGAATAGATTCGATCTAAAGTATACAATTATGACTTTCTTATGACTATAGGCTATTTAAAATCACAACTGGGCGTGCACACATCACATGATGTATATAGAGTAAGACCGTTATGAAGGTTATGAATATTATAGCATATCATACAAAGTATATAAAAAAACGAGTCCTCGATTCAAATGTAATATTTCGAAAAGAACGATGTTAAAGGTTCATGATTGTACAGATTCATTTTTATAACAACACGTTGTCATTCGGCTTTCCAACGGTGGGTCATTTATTAAATCCGAGGTAACGATTAAAAAATACTATTTTGAGTAAATGCGATTCATGGAGAAAACGAAAAAATTTTAGAGCCGTTTGAATCCAAATATTTTTGGCTAATGGCCGTCGGCGACAGAAGTCTGGCACTAGCATTTATTCTGACGTCACGCAAGGGAGTCGAGTCTTGATGGTCTTTCTCCCAGGCGCTTCGCTCCGAATTTTTCCTTTCCCCCCACGCGTGTCCTCCCGCGCGCGCGTCACGCAAACATCAAAGCGCCGGGGACGAGGCTGGTCTGTTAAGTTATCTGTTTTAATCAGCTCGAATGTTTTGTTCGCTGAAGTGTTTAACTTTTTATATTCTAAGTTTTATAAAGTATTATGTCAACAGAATCAGTCCGATGATTCTGGAGCGAATTTTATACCTGGTTAATATGTTGTATTGGAAGATGCTGTCATGCTGATCTGTAGCTGCATCTCGTCAGGTCTCTAGTGGTATCATTAATATTACCAAATCTGCGACGCGGACGTGACGAAAAACTGCCGCTATTATCACGGTTTCACTTCACGGATAAAAACTGTTGTTGGTAAACAAAGTCAGGGATACGAGAAACACAAAGTAAAACTAGTCTCCCATTTATCAGTTAGCGATTGTTTTTTAGTCGCGCCATGTCTCAGATTTGGCGCATTTTTAATAAGCTTCCTACTAACGTGTCGTTCTATGACTTTGCAAGGTTCATATCTCCGGTTCGGTGCATGCTATAAAGACAAAATTACTACCATTCGATTGAGTGAAACAAAATCTCCTTATTTCCAATGATAGTTTTAGTCAAATATAGTTTTAGTCAAATTGTAGTCAAATAGCTATTTATGACCTTTGAGAGGTCAAGCGGTGTCATAATTCATTATATTACTCAATTAGTCTCGAACAATGTATTAAAGTAGCCATACCTTTAGCCGACCATAACTTCGGCCCCTTTGGACATATCTTTTTCGCAATAGTCTTATTCGAACCGGAATCCAAAACACTATTTAGAGTGATATTTTCAAGCTTGTGTCTTCAGATTTCCATCTTTTATTTCGGTATTACAAAATATTTATATTTTTAGCTGGCCCGCAAAACCAAAATACAATTGCAAATTGAATCATCAAAACAAAGCAAATCATCGTCAGCCTTTATTAGCTTCAGATAGTTAGGCTTGCCGAGCCCCGGCAACGAAAAAAAATGCCTCTCGTAATACTCTGTTCTACAATGATCCGAGCATATAGTCGAAGTCTTTGACGGCACAAACAAACCCTTTGCGCATACAAAATCAACCCATACTAGTTCTTCTTTTAGCTTCCGCGTGTGCGTCATTGAAGTATGGAATATTGTGTAGACTTATTCCATCTTTTAAACATACTTTATTGGTACAGTTAGCTGCAACACAGTAAAAAGGCATATCTTTTTCGATCACAAATCTACTTGTATAGTCGAATAAAAGAATATACGCCGACTCACTTGCGTGACGTAACAAAAATCGCTCGTTCTATTTTTCCTTCGAACACGGACGCCTGCCAACCAAAAGCCCAAATTTTGCGTGTTCAAACGGCTCTAAAATTTTTTCGTTTTGATGAAATCGAAAAATTCTTTCGCTAGAGCACTATACTAAATGAGTACTTTCAATAGACTGAAAAAATTTTTTTGTGTCAGGGGCACTTTAAGGAAAGTGCCATGTTAAATCTTTTTGTTCATGTAATAAATCCTGCATGCTCATCTTTTCGGATGGCCTTATTTTTGCAACGATAGAATAGTATATGTTTACCTTATATGTAGACGGATATTCCATGGGGGCCTTATATTCAGAAGTGAACAATAATCACTGTGATTTAAACAAAATAATATTCCCAGGAAAATACAAACCTGAATCATCCTTCCATGGTTCTTGAAATTATACTGCATGTTCTTCTCTCGGAAGAAATGTGGTGGGTTAGCCAAGGTAACGCTGAACGCTTCTGTGGCCAAATTAAATCTGAGCAAGTACAAATTACAGCATTAGGTACGGTGACTGCATGTTTTGAAAATATGCAGGGCTGTTGGTTTTCCTTCTTGCGCGTCGAATCAGAGTGTTGGAAACGTTTCCGGTATAATGGTTTTCGAATAGCTGAGAAGTGCGATCTGGGGATCCTCAATATAGCTAGAATAAATGCTATATATATAATATTCATGTACTTTGACGAATACAATCGCTCATAGACGGATTTTCTGGGGGTGCAGCGGCGTGCGCACTCGCCAAAAATATTTTGCATCCCCTCAGAACGTCTTCTCACCCACCTAGAGAATTTTGCAACCCTCGGCCAAAAACAATAAATGCTCGCAAAAACAATAAATGCTCGTTGGATTAAAGGACTGCATTAGTATGATTGAAATAAGGATTTTGAACTAAATAAGACCAAATATTTTAAAATTTCCTGGGTGCTTCGACTCCTTACCCCCACTCCCCACTAGCAACTGTGCCCCCTGAGTCCAGACACCTGCTACAGCTTGCTCAGTGGCGCTACGTGCCCCCCCCCCCACACGCTCACCTCCTCCCCCTGAATTTTCGGCACCACAAAATCAAAGCAAAATCCATCTATGCAATCGCTGCCATATCATTTTCTCTTGGCCTTAGTTCAAAGAAATAAATGACACAATTTACTGTGAAATTGATCTTTGGCTTTGTTATATATACTTTCGCATCGCACATGATTCAGCATAAAACAAGTATCACATAGCGATAATGTGACAACCTACTTCTTTGTTACATCAAATTTCATACTTCTTGCTGCTTGATCAACATAGTGATAGAAAGATGTCAAGACAGCAGGGTCGTAGCCATTAAGCTTGATTAAAACATCCGAATACTTTGTTGTATCTACTGGAACTTCATCAGTAACCTACAGTGAGGAAATTTACATTGGTACGAAGTAAAATTAGCATCATGGACGAGTTGTTGCGTTGACCTCTCTTTATACATGCATTATAGGTTATACCATATATATATACCATATATATATATATATATATATATATATATATATATATATATATATATATATATATATATATATATATATATATATATATATATATATATATATATATATATATATATATATATATATATATATATATATATATAACATATGTACAATAATACCATTGGCGGTCCTCTTCGTCGGGTTTCAGTTGAATGACATTTTGCTAAGAACAGAAAGAGATCATTCCTTCACTACGTGGATGTGCATTTACAGTAGATCTACGTGTTATCAACCGAACAATGCGAAGTACCAGGATGGTTTCAATAATATTTCTACTTTACGAGATACGACTGTGACAATTACATGTGATGCTATCACCACTTATGACGACCACAAATTATAGTGCGCAAATGAAGAATGTTGTACTACCCTAAAATTTAGACCGAGTTGAACACGTAAAGTGGATAATAGAGGGTAGAGGTGTGTGTTGGTAGTTCTGATAGCTTCTGATCATAATTCCAATTTGTTTTCTCTTAAAGGAGAATGACAATGGTTAATGATGGACACATTGCTGGAAAATGTCCGGCAGCGCCAGCCAGTGGCGCCAGCAGCACCGCTGTCAGGAAATCAACAAAATATCTTCGCAGGAATGTTTTATCTTGCAGGAAATTTTTGTCATCTTATATACTGGAATGCCAATATAAATTACTTATTGTTTAAAAATTCCAAAAGCATTTTGCAAGTCGAGATTGTCTTGTGCCGAGATTGAAGTTGACCACAATGTGCGGCACCATAAATTCTCTGAAATCTACATATATATATATATATGCAGGAAGTTGCCTGGTTTTATATTTGGCTTACACAGGAATTTTATATTTGGATTTTGCTGCCAGGAAGAGAAATATATTTTCTAGGTCTGATGTGACGTCGATAAAGTTGTCTTACGACAATTATTAAGAGTACATTGTTTATCTTGGGAAACCATGCCACCAAAGAAATATAGAGAATACCGTGGTATGGATAAAATATCTTCAACTGTGCATTGCCACTACATGGAAATCTGAGAGAAATCCTATCAAACCTAAAAAATAAAAACAATGCACTGTGCATGAGTTAGTACTAACTCCAGCGTAATTATAGGTTTGCAACTTTGGTAGAAAAAACTTTGCCTATCACACAAATACTTCTTATTTTTAGCAAACACCAAATGTAAGAACCGCGATTTAAAACCTCATGAAAAACGATTTTTCTTTCATATATATGCGAGTTTTTCGAGGGTTTTTTCCCACAAAGTACAGTAGTGCATGCAGTGAACTACAGTTATTTCCAAATCCTTTGTTTCTGTATGGAGGACCACCCATACAAGAACTAAAAGTCAGGGGCGTCGCTAGCCAGGGGGGGGGGAGAAGGGGAGACGAACATTTTTTGCAGACATCCTTTCTTCTCCTTTCTCCTTTACCGACCGTCATTCGGTAATTATCCTTTATTTCTTCGTAAATTTTCCAAAATGTTTTGCTACAAATATTAGTTTTTCTCTTTCCTATCCAACTTAAATTTTGCCAACTACGAAAACAATTTTGTCTGACCCCTAGCGATGCCCCTGACTAAAGATTTATAGTAAACTACTACGCAAACCTGCATTGTGACCTCATTAAGGCTTTGAATGATATTTTTACTAAAATAAGTTAATTTACAGTCAAGGAGATAGAGCCCTAGGGCTAGAGAGAGTTTTACATCATTGAGAAGAAAAATTAGTTGCAAAAAAACATGGTTAGTTAAACAGCTGGTTAAATTTTAACCCATGCAAGTTAACCCCAATCTCGCTTTGAAGAACTAGTCCACGAAATCCTGCCACAAAGTATTAAAACTACTATAAGTACTACATATTTTGTGGTAACATAAACTCCCCTCATGAGGTATGTACAGTATGAACATTCATTTTTGTTCCTCTATACGTCCTCCCTGACTAACTTAGTTTTCAGCAACGTACCAGTTCACCTTGCTAGTCAATCTTCTTGCAAAATTCATCTGTCACTTCACTCCTAAAAAATAATTGCATGTCATGAATTACATTGTTTTCTGTATATATACTGTGTGTATATGGGTGGATAAAAAAGGTATACAAGTTTCAAAAGGCCAATAAACTGAACTATTATTAATAGTTATTATGATAAAGGTTTGCCTGTGGCTGCGGGCTAACAATTAAAGTGCATGCACGGATGCACCTAACCTCAATTCTTTTTATCATTTCATTCTTAAGAATTTCCGAAATAATATAACAACTCATTTTGAAGATTTGTGAGATATTTCATTTTGTTTGGTATGCAAATATCTGGAATTTAAACGTCACAAATGCATAATGATTTAAAGTAAAAGCACGTATATCGTATTCACTAGCGAGTTTAATTCATTAAAATGAAGTTTGGAGTTGTGGGAGGATTAGATACCTATGTTATGTAAAACACCATTTAGCCTTTTTATTTCATGATACTTAACTGTACCTTACATTCTTTGATCAGTCATTATTCATATGTGACGTAAATTCCGGACATTTGCATATATCAATAAAACTGAAATAACTCAGAGACAAAGTGTGCAAACGAAAATCTTCAAAATAATGCACTAGTCAATTGAAACCCCGACCCCCGGGACAGGGCGAGGAATTAATGGGGGAATAGCCGTGGATTAACGTGGCTTTAATGCACCATTTCCCCCGGGGTACAGGGTAAATAACAAGTCAACTTATTAGCCGGGACAATAGCCGGGACTTTAACGCGCGGCTGATATGAAAGTGGACTGGAACGAGTTTATCCTCGTAGCAACATGGCGGAATCTTCGAAATCAGAGAATTGTTTCCTCATAGTTTTTCTTAAAAAAAAGGGAATATATTTTCACTTTTTATATATTCCTGATTATGACTGCAAGATACTCGAAACATAGATTATTCAGTATCTTTTGATGCTGATCAAAGTTTAAGTCAAGAATTGCTTTCACATGTTGTGAACATTTTATACTTCAACAATTTCCCATTTCCAAAGTCATGAAAATTTGCAAAGTACTGGGGCCATAGGGGCGGTAACTTTAACAGTCAATATTCCCCCGGTAGCGGGGAAATTACCAAACTTTACATTATCAAAATGTTAATGGCTGATCGCATTATTAATCCGCACCCCCCCCCCTATTGAGGACATGTGGAATTTCCAATGCCCCCCTGCAAAAGTGAACCAAAAATGAAGGAATTTCCATGGGAGGGTCCAAATTTTAAAGCAAATCTGCGGAAATTGCAAAGGGTAGGTAAGAAAAATGAGTAAAACATATGGAATTTCCATGGGAGGGTCAACAATGGAAAAGAAATTCCAAAGGATAGGATAAAAATCAGCAAGGAATTTTCCAAGGGATAGCTACTAATCAAAGAATCAATACGGAATTTCCACTGGCTAGATCAAAAACTGTCAAGGAATTTCCATGGGATGGGTTAAAAGTTCATAAAAAAATTGCGGAAATTCCATGGGCATGGCTAAAATTCAATACAAATCTGCGGAAATTCCACAGGGGAGGCTAAAAATTCGCTTAAAATATGTGGAAATTCCAGGGGAGGGGGGACCAAAAAATGGATGTCCTCAATAGGGGGGTGTGGATTAATAATGCGATCAGCCAATTTCCCCGCCCTATCCCGGGGGCCGGGGTTTCAATTGACAAGTGCATAAGTTAAAATCAATATCATTTCAAAGGTTCTTAGGAATAAGATGTTAGAAGAATTGAGGTTAGGCCTAGGTGCACTTTAATGTACGTAGAATTTGAAATGATGTAAATTACCTCAAAAATTATGGACTGCTATTAAGGCTGACATCTTTGGTAGAGTGGCAGCACAGGTGGCCCAGGCTCTGTGTGGGTATTTATTTATTTTTGCATTAAATATTTACTTTAAATTATAAAGTATAACACTTACTTAGTTTCCTTTATGTATTCTGTGTGATTTGGGGGTGGTTTTAGTTTGATATAATGACATAAAAACACATATGAATGCGATATAATACACACTTTATATATTGTAAAATATTGTAAAAATATAACGCCTAAATACGCACTGATTCAAAATATTGGTGGGCTTACTTGTTTACTGTGTCATTTACTTCACTTTTGTTGATTTTCAGGCCATTTCGTTGAACCCGGCCAATATTGTATCTCATCTAATATTACTCACTATCAATAATGCAACTTTAGGTAGGTAGCTGTGACACCGGGCGAACTTGGGCAAGACCTAAAGTTCAACAAAACTCGCCGATAAAATATTGCCAAATGCTTCTAAAGCTGCGGCTATATATATTTATGTTTATTCAATCTTTCCAATGTGTAAAATCCTTTCCCTCGCTTTTCCATGAAGAATGAAAACAACTTAAGTACCGTACTATTAAAGTACTTTCTCAGAACTTGTGAGTCGATCTGCTCTAGAACCAAACCATTAAAATTTGAATTTATCGAACTTTGTAACCGCGCCTCTCGTTAAAACATTTCTCCTCGACACTCCTAATTTATTAATTGCACGTTAATAGGTTGAGGAGAAATATTTTAACAAGTGGCGCGGTTACGAGTTCGAAAAATTCAAATTTTAACAGTTTGGTTTCAGAGCAGATCGACTCACAAGTTCGGAGAAAGTACTTTAATAGTACTTAAGTTGTTCTAATTCTTCATGGAAAAGCAAGAGAAAGGATTTTATAAGTTCGAAAGATTGAATAAACATAAATATATATATATAACCGTGGCTTTAGAAGCGTTTGGCAATATTTTATCAGCGAGTTTTGTTAAAATTTAGGTCTTGCCCAAGTTTGCCCGGCATCACAGCTACCTTAACCTTTGCGTTATTGATAGTGGGTAATATTACATGACATACAATATAGGCCGGGTTCAATGAAATACAAATCAACTTATATGTTGTTATTATATGTTCGACTATAGGAGTATTATTATTATATGACATATTAGTGTAATTTAGTGTTATAATTCAATTAAAAGGCAATATAAAGACAGCCTGGGCCATCTGTGGTGGCAGGGGGTGTAAGGGTGGCAGGGGGTTGTGTAAAATATATATATAACTTCAGTTCGAATAGCCACTTCGTTTATATAAACATCTATCTCTATGTGAATTGATACTAATCTATTTAAAATACACAAGCATATCAACAATTTAACATAAAAACTGATTTGGGGCAATTCTTTGGTTATATGCTTTGAAGAGCTGCAGAAATCCTCATATTTTTTATATTTTTTAATTGTTTATTCACACTTATAAGGCTATAAACCTATTATATTTATATAAAACATTCAAAACAAATAACGTATCTATCTTACTGGATCAAAATAAAATTCCGATCATCATTCAGGTTTCTTTCAGCTTTCTTCCTCAGACATCAAATAAACCTCATGAAAGCAATGAAACTACGAAAGCAAATAAGCAATGTAAAATTTTAATATACTGTAATAAAAAATTTCAACATGAAGAGTGCGCTAGAAGATAACACACTTTAATTAACTGGTAACATGCACTGGTCACATGACTAATTGAGTAATTTTCGGTTAGCACTATTTTCCATCCAGCAAACTGACCTGACGTCATTTTCGGAAGATAGAAGAGGTCAGAGGTGTTAAACACTTAAATGGCCATGTAACTAACCCAAACCCTACCCCTACTCTAACCCCTAACCCTAACCGCAACCCTAACTAACTCTAACCCTAACCCTAATCCTAACCGAATTAATAAAAAAAAAAAATTAAAAAACCCGACTTTAGAAAATCGATAGGGCGGTTTGCTGGATGGAAAAAAGTGCTAACCGTAATTTTCGGGTACTTTTTGCTGCCGAGCGTAGCGAGGCAGCTCCCTATTCTTGACGTTACATGACGTTATTGCTTTTTCGTGCCCAGTCCCCGGCCGAGTTATATTGGGGAAACATACTGAATCCATGTCAGTCCGTCGGATGCCAAGATTTTTCGGAAATTGTCGTCAGCTCGAGCATTCGACGACTCTTTGTTTTTATTCGATTTTGATTCGATTTTATTTTGTATTGCGCTCGCATGATTCTTCTCAGGATTTAATAGTTAATACAGTTTAATACGATGCAAAGGATCGACAATATCTTGAATAATTCATGGCGGATAGCATTAGCTTTATTTCTTTCTGGTGATACTGTACATGAAGGCATTTATATTTAGATTTGCTGTTTAGTGTTCGATATAGAGGTATTGAAACCAATATGATTTTATGAATTTGCAGTTCTAATAGCCCACTGATCGCCTTTATATTTATACAAGGAGTCAAAATATTATTTTATTGTACATTTAGTATCCGAGATATGTCCATTGGTTAGCATTATTGCTGCCGCAGCGAGCGAGCCTGAAGCGAGCGAGCAAGGCAGCAGATCCTAATTTTGTTTTGTGGGTCGAAATCAAAATTTTCCATTTGGCGCATTGCATGACGGTACCAGTGAATTTTAACCGTGGTGCAGCGCGGCCAGGCATAAGGCAAACAGACAATGTGATCATCTTTCATGGCCCCTTTCACCTTTGATCTTACTTAAAGTGATCAAACGGCATTTTGTTGGGTGCTTTTAGCATTATAGGGTGCATGGTGCTTTCGGCATTATACACGGTGCTTTCGCCACTATACGCGGTGGTTCCCGCATTATACGCGGTGGTTCCAGCATTATACGCGTTGCTTTCACCATTTACATACGCGTTGCTTTTGCAATTAATATACGCAGTGGTTCGAGCATTATATGCGGTGCTTTTAACATTATACGCGATGCTAGTTTTCATTCAACATTATTTCCATATTCTTTCCATGACATGTCTATGATTTAACGATTGCTTAAATTTGGTATGTGGTTGACAAATGCTTTTTGCCTATGGTCTGCAAGAACAATGACATGCTTGATGCTTTTCTGTGTATATAAATGAATATAACGCAGCGAATGCGCCAAGCAGTATAAACGCGGCTGAAATACGATATTTAATAAAATCTTGAATGTGCCGTATGATTTAATTATGTTTTAGGATTTACAAATACTTTGTCATTCGTAATTATACTTGTAGTGCATCACAAGGCAGTACGTAAGTGAACAAATTCCACATGTGAGATTGTCTTGTATATATTTTTGCTTTCTTTGATAAACATTAAACACGCAAACTTTAATTAGTGAGACGCAATGTTAAATGTGACTTGCATGTCATTGTCATTGACCTTTAACACCTGGTCTAATTGGCCGCTTTTGAAAATGTTGATCATGACGAACCGCACTCCTTAATTATGCAAGCTTTGTGTTTTAAAAACGGGTAGGATAAAACGCGGATACGAATGGACGGATAAATGACGGACGGACCGGACGGATGACATACTGTATATATGTCATTATATAGTCTGCGCGCAGCCGCGCAGGGTAGTTAGTGGCTTATTTCTTCGCTGGTTGTTATACTTTAAACTAATTTTGTATATACCGAGAAATCAATATTCCGAGTATATGAATATATAAACTGGGATGTTACACTGATAGCTTGTTTACATTTCCTGGAGCATCAAATCTTATGTTTAACCACGGTGGTTTAACCCATTAGCTGGAAATGCGCCCTTCCCTTGTCCAGCGCCAGAAGATTTTACTCGTCAGTGGTATAGGGTACTGCCAGTAAATGGGTTAACAAACCTATCTGCCAATGTCTCTTGTTAATTCATCAGCACAGTAATGACCCCTACTTTAGTATTTACCCTGTCCAACGCCAGACGATTTTTAATACTCAGTCAGTGGTAGGGTACTGTCAATAAATGGGTTAACCTGCAAGGATAACAATAATAGGATGTTTATGAAGGACCCGCTCAACACCCTGTAGTTTGTCTTTTGCTGTCGAAGGCAGCATTACTGCCCTGTGGGTAACCTAGTATGTAATATACCGGCTTACATTCATATATTCACCTGCTCAGAATTTCTTTCTACAATCTTAATCATTACAAATTAATGGTCATCTGAAGCTGACAAAAATGTCAACATAGATTTTGACTTCTCATCAGCAGATTGTTCGGTTGTTCTGCAATAGGGGTAGCCTTGAAGGTCGTATTCATGCGCGATTTGATTTCGCGCACCTTCTTCATATTCGCGCAGCTTTAAGGGAAGCCTCACATATCGATTTCGTCCATGAGAAACGTCATATGTTCGTTTCTCTGGAGACCCACCCCCCCCACCCCCCACCCCCACTTCCCTTAGAAACGTCACACATAGTTATCGATATTTTGTTTAATATAGTACACATAAGGTAATTTTCTACTATTTTCTACGGTCGGCTATTGGCGATGCTTCCGCAAGTAATATGTCATCTTCTGCTGACATACTCTTTTTTATTAATATATATGAACTTCAAAATTTCCAACGTTTCTCAAAACAACTTTTTTTTGCATGAAATATTGATAATTTTAGCGCGGTTTTCTTGAAATTTGAGTGTTTTCAATGCAAGGAAGGCGTAATAATATAAATGTATACGTGTAGAACAGGTATGGTATAGAATGTAGGCGTATAGACTGGTGTTTGTATCAAGTTGTTTTCTTTTTTAAACTCTGCAAAGATGATTTCGAAATGTTAAGGCTTTCGAAAAAACTAGCGAATTTTTTCATGATATTTACAGAGACACGTCACAGCTGCAAAC